ATGTGGTTTCATCTCCAGATCATCACTTGTTAAGGACAGGTACAGCTTTCACTGATCATATAGCAGAAAGCCTGGTGACACATGTCTATACATGTCAATAGGGTAATCATAAAAATTATACCATCATTTTCTGGTGGAGATCATTCATGCCCAAAATGGGTCATGGAATTTTTCATCAAGTAATCAAAAAATGCAAAACAAAAAAGATTTTTAAAAATATTTAGGGGTTTTTTTTAATGAAATCATTAACTGGGATGTTTACAGTCATCTTGTCTTTCCTACCATTTCCTAGGCAATGATTTTTGCACTGAGGTACAGAAAGCTCTAGTACATGAGTGTTCTCTTCCAACACCCATTTACTTAAATCCTGTTCCCAGGGCAACAGGCAGGGGAAAAAAAACTTCCAAGGGACCTACAAAAAGCTGGCCTAAAATCACAAAAATTATTGCAGAAATTACTCCAATTTTCATCCAGGATTTGGAAAATAAGTCAACTCCACAAGAGACGGAATGTTTTCTGTTCCCTTATAGCAAACACAGAAAGAATGGCTCTCAGAAGAATTTGGAAAAAATATTATTTCATTCTTAGGTGAGAGGAAGAGAAGGTGAAGGGTTATACTACCATAATATCACTTTCAGATTTCTGCTGGAGCAGCCACAGAAGGCATCTTTCGTTGATTCTAATAGTTTGGGATCAAGCCTTCACAGACAGGAGAAAACCCAAGGGCCTAGTAACACTGAACCTAAATTAGGTAGAGACAATTAAAACTCTCCTATTGCTACCTGCTTTAACATTGATTTAATCTTCAGTGGTGTTGTATGCAAGAGACTGGAAATAGATGGCCTGTAATTAGCCCCTCCATCACTTCCACCTCATTGCAGCAACAAAGCAGACTCCTGATTAGCTCCCTAAAACCCCATGGGGGGCCTGCCCCAAGTGACCCTGGGGCTATTCTGAGTTACAAGCCCAAACCACGCATTCCAGTGGATAAAGGCACAGGAAAGTCCATGGAAGGTTGGAAGAGCTGCATCGTCTGCTCACAGCCTTTCTGAAACTGGGGCGGGCTAGTGGCTCTGTGTTACCAGCCATGGCTCCAGTAATGGGTGGGGACCTCTCCATGCAGAGGAGCCCAACAGGGCTCCAGGGACCCAGTGCAACCCAAAACCAAGGTGAAGGGCAGGGAGCCCAGGGGCCAACTGAGCAATTGAGCCAATTGAACGCCTTCCCCGGTCAGCAAGCAGCATTATGTTGAAACCAAGCATATATATTAGCCTGCCCATTAAGCGATCACGTAGCTATTTACAGCCAAGTAAAAACAGCAACAACAAAAAAGGGTTACTTTTTTTCCCAATCAAGTATAGACACAGGGTTGCAACTTTCACACACATCTAATGCTAGCCTTCCTCTGTGCACACAAGAAAATGACAGACCTGGCTTTTTTCAGTTATGAGAAAACAGTATTTTGCACTGCATTTAACAGGTCAGAGTGATGAGCTCAATACCCTGCCTCACGTGTCACCCAGACTAGTACTGTTTCTCCTTTCTAACTTCTCTTTTCTCTTCTCCCCTCTTTGCTTTCTGTAACGACTGATGTGTCTGCACTTGCCTTGTGCTGGAAAACCACCTCCTTTCAGTCTCACAGTGGGTAGCAACAGCTACAGAGACCACAAGAAGCATGTAGGCTTTTTCACCATCACACTGTCTCACCACAGTCATCACCTAGCCCTGGCTCATGCACAGGCACTGCAGCATGGGGGAAAATATCCAAGCTTCTTATGCCATGTCAGAGCTTCCCCAACTCCCAGTGATAGGTGAGCTGTGCTGGCAGCAACTGAGCACCAAAATCCCCCAAGTATGCATATACCAACACTGGTGTTAAGAACACCTAATTACAGCCTGTCCTCGGCACTGCTATCAACATCCAAAGCAAAACTTACTGAACAATACACTTTGAAGAATCAAACAGGCTTTGCTATGCTTTATTCAGATTATTTTGCTGTTCTGTTATCTCTTTAGAGGAAGTTCAGGTCTTGCTTAAGAACTGCAGCACTACCCTTCTGAAAAGCCTGATCTAGAGACAGCATAATGGAACAAGGTCGTGCCAAAAATGCTAGTAAGAACTGAGGAGCAAATACACATTTTCCGTGGAGTACAGCACACACTTTGAATTCTAAAAGGGACAAGTTGGGTCACTGCATCCAGGCACCATAACTCAGACAAGATGTAATAACCACTTTACAAAAATGTAAGAACATTATTAGCAATATATGCCTAAATTGCTAATGAGATGCCTTCCATGGCAGGAGGATTACAAATCTCTGACAATTTCCTTGTACTTACTATCTAAACTCTAGTCTGTGGCAAGTTTAAGATTGAGGCAAATAATTTTGTCTTCTCAGTACCTTACATCTCAAAACAAAACCTACTTCTTTTTGAACAGCACATAAGAACTCCTGCTCTGCTTCTGTATAATGGATCTCACACTCCTCACCCAAATTTACTGAACTTTAGAAGCACCTCTAGGGAAAGTATGTACAAAGAACAGTAAGCACATTATGAACCACATCAATCTCATAAAGGGAAAATAATCAACTAATATTATGTTTGAAAGAAGACAACTGCATGCAGCATTTCCTTTTGATGTTTGTTTGCATGTATGCATGCCAGCGCCTGGCACACTGTGTTGCACTGTTAAGCATATTTGACCACCTTAATGTGCACAGGAAACTGAAGATCCCTGTTAAAAAATAACCCATCTAGCTTATTATTAGCTACTTCACTGGCAGCTGAAAGGGAAAGTGCACCTTCCAAGAGTAGTTTATTAGAGCCTTCTCCAGTGTACGTAAGTCTTACATTGTGGCAAGGAAGTTGACAGGGATCAATATTATGAACATTTATCTGGCTTCTTAAACAGCTTTTGCAGGTTGTGCTGAGCTCCAAGTTGCCACAACTACAGTGCTAGCTGTACATCAGCCAGCTTGTGTGTGTCTCATGAATATAAACACAGGCAATACTTACTGAAAAGAAGATAACTGTGATATATGAGTATCTCCAGACACACTGAACAAATACCACTATCCAGCACACGAGGTCGTTCAGCACTTGACAGCTCACAATAATTGCCACAGGTTGCAAGTAGCCACACACAGCACCTTGAGCAGACAGGAACCAGCCCCACCTTGAAAGTCACAGGGTGAAGTGCCTCACTCTGTTGCAGCTGGTAAATTCAGTTGAGAAACGTAAATTAGCAGAGGCACTGTCTATGGCTTCAGACACAAAATTAATTGCATCGTACTGGCTAGATCGTTCAATAATGTGAGCCATTTATATCAGCTGCAGCAGATCATAACTAAGTTAACTGAGTGACAACCTCCAAGTACTTACCTATATCCTTAAAGGCATCCTTTTCACCTTATGCAATAGGAACTACTTTGAGTACTCTGGTACCTCATAATGTCACTACAGATGGAAAATTACTGTTGCAACACAGGAAGCCCAAAACCACAGCCGAAATCAAACACACATCGCCCCTGAGGTCCATCTCATCTCTCGACCACAAAGTCACTCTTTCCTATCAAAATGAGAAGCCTGTATTTCTTGGTGCTGTTTTTTACAGTCTGTCTAAGGTGGGGTCAATATAAAAACAAGGTACCACTTGACTGCATATTTAGGCAGGTTAGGAACTTTGTTTTCAATATATGCTTAGACGATTTACAGCACAGTAAAAATGACTGAAGCCTGAAGATTTTACTGTATACTTTACTGGATATATCCCTGAAACAAAGCAGACAATAGTACACAGTAGGGTGATGTATTATAATTGCATCCTATTCTCAAGATCTCTAGTGATTTTGCCCACAATTTCTTACTTTTAAGTGAGTTATCACAAGCCATTGATTCCTTAGAAAGTTAACAAGCAATAAGACAAGTTAACCTGGTGCTATTATGAGGCAAAAATGTTGCCATCAGTGCATGCAACCACTGTATTTTGTTCATTTTTCCCTCAGGCACAATACAAAGGAGCCTGATCACATTTTTCAGCCACTATTCCACAATTAGACTGTATGCAAAATGTATGAACAGCAAAAGCATGCTGCATTCAATCCTCAATTAATCTAGATGATGAAATAAAGAGAATTCCATTAAGACATTCACTTTCTAAAAACACAAATTAGTCAGAAACCAAGACTAACAGAATACTCAAATCTGAAGACTGGTTCTTTTTTGACACTCAGCATATGCCAATATAGACTGATTTAAATATGACCTACTAACATAGGTCAAACAACTACCAAGATTTTCCCAAGCCAACATGAAAACTGTCACTATCAACTGCACTGACAAGACACATGAAAAGTTTCTTTATGCTTCCCCTTTCAATCCCTCCCTACTATCTATATATGATGCACTACCTTTGCATAGCAGATAAAACTGTGTAACTATATGAATAGAGATTTTGAAGCAGCCAAAGAGCAAAACAGATACTTGTTTCAGATCCATGCAGAACCTGAATTCTGGTCCCCCAGCAATATAGCCGGAACATTACATATCATTTAATTTCCACAAATCCATCTTAATAAGCAGAGAGTACAGTGGCAGTCCTGAACACTGTCAGGTTCTACTTTTGATAGCATTATTCTCATTTGAAATACACACATATACACACACATGTGCACACATGCAGCGCATTAACTGCACACAGCTTCATTTGCAGCAGGTTGAGTAGCTCTCTTGAAAAGCAATGGTATTTTATGGAACAGTTGAAAAGGTAGCAGAAATAGTTGCATCATATTCTCAGACATGATGTTTTACAGATGTAATGCACAAAAATACGCCTTCCAGCTTTGTCTTCCCAGCTACAGATCGTACAATTGAAATGAAACCACGTGCTAAACAGATGCATGCCAACTTGCACCAGCAGATCCCAGTTTCCAGTTCCTTTCCTCCAGCAGGATGGACAGGGGAAGCCATTATCCAACCAAAGTCTCCTTTAATGAGCTGTACCTTCCTTTTACTTCACACGTGCCAGTTGCTCTAAAGCTCTCTCGCTAGCTCCCACCAACTCCCCCAAAGCCCAGTGCCCCTCAATATCTACAATGTACTCACAATAATACCAGTCAAATACCAATCCTACTTTGGGAAAAATTAGTGCTTAGAGAAATTAGCTCACAGCGAGTTTCAATCTTCTGTTTATATTCCCCAAATACACAAAAAAACATAAAAGTATTTAAGCTAGTAAGTAATCTGGGGGATACAGAGAGAAAAAAGGCAGAAAAAAAGCTGCATTTCTATGCCTACTGTGTTGAACATCACTACTTGTACCAAAATAGAAGTTTCTGCCAAACTTTAATGCTCATTGCCAAGGATATAGCACAAGTTATGTCTTTCTACCATTTTTGCAAGCTGTCCTCTGATTTCAGACCCATAAAATCATAATTGCAAGAAATACTGTACTATATATTAAAGAAAAATATTTAAACAACTAAAATTTTGCTTATCACACTACAACACATTCAATTTCATAAATATATTTAAACAACATTATAATAGGTTTGGAGAAGATAATGAAGTTACAGTGATAACAACACAGTGGAAAGTCATCTCCAAGTGCCAAGAGATTCATAAGGAAACCATGTCAATGCAAAGTTCCACTTTCGTAACAGATACGATGAGGAAATCGTTTACATCAGAAGTGGCACAAATGACTACCTACCTCTTGGGACAGGAAGGGAATGACTTGTGCACATATAGCATTCAGCCTCTTGACAATTTCTGCCTGCAAGTGACAAGAAAAAAGAGGTTCAATTATGTAAATTCTAAAATGCAATTGTCACCCATGAACACTAAAGAGACATTTTTTTTCATCTCTGGCAATCCTCTGGCCAGGATATGTTATCAAAATAATAAAAGTATTTGGACATCAATTAAGAAATATTTAGGAAGCTAGTAATTTCTGGTTTAAAAGGTCCCCTTAAAAAACACTGTTTAGAACAAAGACTAATTAATTTCGATTACACAGTCACAGGCATTTAAAGAACAAAACCCTTAGGAGATGTAACAAAAAAGATAAACAAAATTCTGTGTATCAAACTGAACTCTCTCCTACAATGCAAAAGCAGGGATCGTTTGCAATCACAGCAACGCTGTTGTAAGCAAAGGGAACAAATAAACCATTTACTGCTAACAGTGCATATCATGAGAACACTAGCACTGTAATATACAACTTCATTAATAATCATTCTACCACATACTTCAGAAAGAGAAACTGCAGTCTTGTATCACACTTATGCTTTTATCAAACTCAAGGTTAATAGCAGACACTTTAATGTTGCAATTGTGACCAGAAATTAATAATATACAATTCCGTATTTTCATGCTGGAGATTAATTCTTATTCTGTGTATTTAATCTGCAAATCTCAATAGACACAGGGAAGATTTGGTGAGATAACACAAGAATTACAGCTCCAAAACCAGAATATTTTAAGCAACACAGACTTCCCTACAATATATCATAAGTTTCTTATAATAAATTCTAACCAGGATCAATTCCTCATTATATAGTAGGACAGAACGCTCTTCCTCTTGCAAAGTCACTAACCGTATGATGAAGAGATACAAACTTGTGCAATTTAGCCTTCCTTCTTTTAACAGCAAACTTTCCAGCCTTTTTGCTATGCTGTCTTTTAAATAGCAAACACTTAGGAAAGAATCTATAGAAAAGAAAGGCTCAGAAGTAGCAGTAAAAAAAGCCAGAAGGTCCCATAAAATAAATCTGGGTTCAAGGAATATTATAGTTACACAGCTACTTAACCTTAACAGACATGGTTTGCAAGAGGTAAGAGTACTTATGAAACTAACTCTGCCCCCTTGTGCATACTGTGTGATACATACAAATTACTAAAGCTATTTTGCAAATAAAATAACTTAATTTCTCTGAAATCCCTCTAGACTCCCACAGATTATTTATACAGCAATTTCTATGCTACACTATCCTTGTATCTTCTCACTGGCCTCCGCTGTTTATGCAAGTCCTCATCTTGTTAAAACATTTATGCATTTTAATATATGTTTTAGATTCGTCTACTACCCCTTTTCTATTTATTCACCAACATAGGTACCTTATAGGACACTTCAGAATACGTTCTTTTCACCACAAAGCTAAATTATCTGCAAATTTTAAAGTTCTCTACATACCTAAAATATCGGATATCCCACAATGTAAAACTTAAATATTCCTTTAAACAGATAGTGTTCACTATACTAGTTGACATGGAAATTTATGAACTGCTAGTTACACAAAGCAGTACTGGAAGCGACAAGTTGCGTGCATCTAAGCCTCAGCCAGAGAGGTTGCACAATCCAATAAAGCATTACTTGAGAAAAAAACATTTTATTACAGAATTTAGACTGTAATACCAGGCACAGCTGTCGAGTACCGGAGCTGTGGTGGTTCAAGCATCATTAATCTAGTAATTTCCAAATTTTGGGTTCCAGGCACAGTGCTGTTTTTTAAAGGAATCTCCCAAGTGCTTTAAAGTCAAACAGAAAACTACACATTCTGTTCTTCAAGGCTCTTCCATATGAGCAGAAAATTCCAAAGTGCCCCTTGCCTTGGCATAAGCTGAAGCCCCTCTGACCTGCCATTTAACTCACATATATGCCATAGTAAAAAAAGGCACATCATGCTTTTTTTCTGCTGCAAAACAACTCCTCCTACCTACCTTTAAAATGCCCGTCACAACCTTAACCACCTTCTGCACAGCTCCTGCGGGGAGCCTCTGGAAAACCAGTCTTCCACCTCAGCCACATTAGCTGGATACCTTACTGCACTGCTAAGAAAATGAGAACAAAACCGGCTCGAAGTGCCATGCAGGAGCTCAGCATCTAATTTTAAAAGGCTTGAAGATTCATAGATTTTAAGGCCAGAAGGGACTGTTACAATTGTCTTATCTGACCTCCTGGGTAACACAGGCTGTAAAACTTCACTGGCTTCTCCATCAAACCCATAAATTACAGTTCAGCTAGAATATCGCTTAGTCAACAAAAATAATTTTATTCAATTCACTCTAAGGCATTTCTTCTCAGTTAAGGTACTCGACCATAGCTATTTCAAGTTATTTCAGCTATGATCTTTTCCTTTTGATCATTTCTCTCCCCCTTCCCTAACAGAAATATGTCTCTCTTCTACTGCTCTTCTGGTCAAAAAGTGGATGAAACATATTTGCTCAATATTTATACAAAAATACACCTCTGGCAGATTCTGAATCTGGGAAACGTTAAGTGAAAAAGAGTTTTCCAAAAAGCTGTAAGTAACTGAAAACAGGTGACTGAATATGAACAGTTACACAACTGCAATAAATCTCTTGATATCAATCCCACTGGAGTGCAGAAAAGTGAGTCCTTTCATGCTGTATGCAGGGAAGTGAGCTGATGGAGATAGCACCCAGCTCAGCCTATGGAGAAGAAAAAGAACTTGCTAAAGCTTCAAGTGATGTGGAAACATTCTCCAGCAACATTTCTGAGCTAGACAAGGGGCCCACTAGGCCAGTCACAACAAATCCAAGAAGCCCTTGCTGTATCAAAGTGCTTACAATTTTTCCTTATTAAAACAGTCTTCGTTTCCCCTAATAGTGAGTGTCCCCAGTTGCATGGTTGTGCGTACATTTTATCACCCTCAACACTCAGGCAGCGAGGAAACAGCCCAACTGAGCAGCAGACTGCAGAGGCACAGTATGACCAAGACAGAGATTGCCTGTCTTTGGAGACCACAGGCAGGCCAAAGGCATGAAGCAAAACACTGTGTACATGCACAAATGATAGGAAGGGTATTACACATTCTGTACCAAGGAAAGTCTTACACCAGACATTTTCACATAGTAAATACGAAGTACAGTCTGTTTCGACACTGCAACTGTTTCTGCAATTAACTGTGGGAGATAATGCCACAGCAATAGGCTTGATTGTCTTCTGCAAAATGTACAAGAGAAAGTAGTTAGCCTCCAGAAGCTAGCTGAGTGGGTTTCTTGCGATGCTGCCGTAAAACCTGAAGGCTTATACTGCTCACACAGGTTAGCATTTCAGTAGACCTACTCCTACTGCCCCTGGTGGGGGCCTGGAAACTCGCTCTTCTTTGCAGAAGGTACGAACTCCGACACAAAGTAAAGAACAACTCCACATTTCTACACTCATAAAGGTATTTAAAACCTTACATTTCATAACCAATTTAGGGGCTCTTTTTTCTCTTAGACATCAGGTCAATGGGCTTTTCATGATCAGTTTAACTGGCAGGAGAAGGAAAAAGCATGATTTCATAAAATCAGTCATTCGGTTCCTCACATGAAAAGCCAAAGTTGCCTCAGAAACACGGCTGCTTCCACAATCATCTAATTTTACCTCTTTTTTCCCATGGGACTAGGCTTTAGAGAGGCTTCATTTATTTACAGGCCCTTCCACCGGGCTTCAGTTATCAGCCAATAATACTGTGGACACACACACTTCTAATGGCCTATGTTTTGAAACCAAGTCTAATCTGATGGCGCAGCGCCCAAACTCCTTTTCCAGCATAGCCATTAAAGGATGTAGGTTATTGCTGTTGTCACCATTGATATTTGTCATTGTAATGTAATTAGGGCCCTAAAATGATGCATTACAGCCCTTGGCAGAGCTTCTATTAAAATCTTTTCTTCTGCTCACTGAACTGCGACCTGCTTTCTGATGAAGAACAGACAGACAGCTTTAGGGTGAGGAACAGATTCATCAAAGTAGTATTTTCCAGCTCTGGAAATAAAATAAATAAGTAAATAAATAAATAAATAAGAGGGCTACCTAAGAAGAAACACAAGGGGAGAGGGGATGGAGGAAAGCAAACAGCACATTTTAATTTCATCTGACCGCTTGAAACTCTGATTGCATCTAACGAATGTTTCTTAGGACAATATATTCCCAGCCTGTGAATTACATGGTTAATCAGGGTTTTGTTCTGCTATCCATTAGCCTACGCCAGCAGTGTAACTTCCAATCACATTTATAGGTTATGTGGGTCATGCATCCTTGAACAACTACATTCACGGATATCCCATGTAAACTGGCACAGATTCTGAAATGCTGTTGCTAGTGTTACTGAATGTTATAATACTATTCAAAGCTTCATGAAAGCTCCTGATAAACAACTGCTAAATTATTGCCTGTGGATACAGCACGATGCTCTGAAATAGCAATAATGGCACAATAAAAGGGAGACTCTTCATGCCAAAATATAAAAAAGATAGCTTTTGCTGCCACAGTTTGTCAAATCTGCTAACACACTAAGACACTTCTATTACTACTTTCCCTAAACCAAAAGATGTTTGGTTTTGCATAAAAGCACACAAGCGCGGAACCAGAAAAGATGAAGCAGACTCAGAAACAGTAGACTTGGGCTGGAATTGTCTTTTTACTGATGCAATACAAGGTTGTACTATGTCCATCCTTTGGGAGAGACCTACAACACAGTATTTTAAAAGTTCTGATCTCTTTTCATAGTTACTTACGTGGCATCATTTTTAAAAAGAGACGATACTTAAATCATTGCGCCAGAATCTGATCCTAGTAAAGGAATGAGAACTTGCATCAGTAAACAGCGCCTCAGCATTATCTCAGGGATACAACACAAGAGTAACAGCTAAGGTCCCCAGTTCAGACAACAAAATCTTTTTGATCAAAGCTGGTAAGTTAAATGGTACTTTATTTCCTAAATACGCCTAAAAATCTGACCCCTTAAGTTCATAAGTGCCTAT